ARKTKGSCYTWARKWAAAACTTTTTAATTAAAATTTTGAAAAAAATTACAAGTTGGCAATTTTGACGGCTTTGCCCTAAGCCCTTTCTGGTATTTTGGGCCTCGATCCATAGCTCAAAATTAAGACGATAATTTGGGCCGAGCTAACCTTCGATTGGATCCGGCCCAATTTGAAAATATGGCCCAATAAATAATTTTGCCCTCATTGATTCCATGGCCCATGTTTTAAAGTTGGACTATTTTCCTTATTTACCTCTAACAAAACAAATATTTTCAATATTTAAATCCTTTTACTATGAATTTTAACCATCTCGAGGTTATTGGTATACTTTTTTAAATTTATCTTTTATTTGCATGAATATTGAATATTGTAAAACTATCATAGCTCTTTAAAAGAAAAAATATTTGTTTTTATTCAACATAATATATAGAGTCGTTATCACTTACAGCATTAATATAATAATGGTATGTTTCAAAATATATATATATATATATATATATATATATAAAATAATGGTAAGTGCAAATATATGGAGGAGGATCTAACCTTCAACTTTAAAGAAGATATCAAACCTTATTTACTAAGCTAGATTGATTTAGTTGTTGAACTTTAAAGTTTGTTTTCAGTACATATTCGATGACAAATATTAAAGTGATATGTTAGATACCATCACTAACTTGAACATAGCTCGTCTAATTTAGACCCTATCWTGCTCCTATGAGTCCGATCTCCACCCGACAAGATACTATCGTGTTAATTTAATCAAAATTAATTTAATGTACACGTGATATTTTTGGATGGTTAATATTCAAAAGTCAACAAGAAAGCTCCTCTCCATAATTCAAATCAGGGGGCTCCCCAAGCAGTCCACCAAAATAAAGGCCAAAAAGTTACTGCTGGGACCCACCACGGTCGGCGTCTACATCACTGCCGGTCAAATTATCATTTCCCAAAACCCCCAAACGACGTCATTGATTACGTCACCGACCAAATCCACTACMACTTCCCATCTCTATGGATTTGAAACTCGCGGATCCCAAATCCTTATACGGGCCGGGCGAAACCGACCCGTCATCTTCCCCTAAAAACCGCCGAATTCCCCTCCGCCGCCGCCACAGCCGGAAACCCGCGAACCCAAGAATCGCCACCACGATTCCGACGATTCCGCCCAGAATTCCGAGCCCGATCTCGAGACCTACCTTAGCTTCCGCCCTCGCCGGCGCTGCCCGGACCTTGAAGTAGCCGGTCTTGGTTTCGTCAGCGACCGYGACCACGGTCCGGACCGGGTAGTCGACGGTATAGCAGAACCGGGTGGCGTTGTAGAAGAGCGCGGCCCAGCAGGAGCAATTGGCTTCGCAGTAGCTCTCGCATTGGTCCATTGTGAACCCGGTTCGGTAGCTCATGAACTCCTTGAAGGGTAATTCCACTCCGGTCCTTCGCAGAACCCAGAAGTTGTTTTCAGCGATGCCGCCGCAGAAGTCACCGGAATCATCCGGGAGACAGTGATCGGAGGTGAAAACCGTCCGGTTGTCCAGACATGAGCATCCGGAACCGGGTTCGCACAAACCGTATGAACCGCATGGATTCGGGAGCTCGCACTKCTCCGATATTGCTTCGTAAACCAATGCCCATTTGGAACCTGCTCAAACAAATTTTAGCCGAAACTTCAATAACGATTTTTTTTCTTTTTTTTATTCAAAATAACCCATTAATTTTAATCTTAAATTTTCGATTTAATTAATTTGAATGCTAAAAATTTTAATATTAATATCTCATCAAAACTAAAATTAAAAATTATTAACATGAAATTAACTGGATGGATAATTGGCGCACTAATCTATGATCTTGCTTATTATATTAAAAAAAACTAAAATAAAAAATTACATGCTTATGGAAAGGACAATTACCCTAAAATTTTAAGTTTCTTTTTTCTTTATTTCAAGTCCTAACCATTTATAAAATTGGAAGATTATATACATAAAACTGTAGGACTGAAAAGTGGGCGGGACTCATGCGGGCAATTTTTCTCCATTTATTTTTTACTCAATTAAATAATCTTAAATTTAAATTAATTACTTAATTTTAAAAATTAAAACCTCATTTAAATTGTTTAGTCCTTCTATATATATATATTGGTTAAAAAGAAAAAAAGCGAAATAAAAAAAAAACCTTTGGTAATTATATTTTGTTTACGAACCTTCCCAGTAGAATCCTCTAAGGTTGCCGTCGGGTTCGAGCCGGAGCCGGAGGAACCCGTCCGCCGATTTCTGGAACGTGTTGAATGCTTCCAAATCCACCGGCATGCTTCCGTTCTGGTACATACCGAGATACCCGTCGGAGTTTACCAGGAGGTGAACCGGTCCTCCTCCGGGAATCACCTGAGCTCTGGCTTGCAATGCTCTGCGTCTGTAATAAATCTGCCTCTTCCCTTCGTTGAACTCTGCATAAAATCCGATGAAATCGTCCCCCAATCGGACCGAGAACATTCGATTAGAAGAAACAAGCGCCATTTCCGAGCTCAAATTCTGATTCTCCACGAGGGTATCGGCCGGAAAGTCGAAACTCTGCCACAGAACCACCGGCGGGTCACGGCGGAGCTGAATTTGCAGATTCGACGAGTTCAGAAGGACGGCCCTGTCGCCGCCGGTGGTGGAAGTTGACCAAAATACTCTCCCATCCGCGTCGGAAAGTACAAAACTGCCGTTGAACCGGAACAGAGTCCGGTCTGACCAGGCCGCCAAGGCGGTCGGGTTAGCGGTCCAGATGGTCTCCGACGACGCCACGTGGAGAACCGCGACGGCGAGTTGAGACGCGTCGACTCGGAGGAATCCCATCGAGAAGTTTCCGGTCGGGTCGTTGAGGAGAGGCTGAAACGACCGGACCGCCGTGTCCGGCGTGGCTTGGAATCCGGCGGCCAGCTCCTGCGGAGGCGCCGCCGCGGATACCCGAATGGGCAAGTGGATGAGGACGGCAATCGCGACGAGAATTGAAACAGCAAGTGACCGAGTCGCCGCCGAGTTACTGACGAGTCCGTCCATTTTCTGGATCGGAAAACGGCGGAAGAGAGAACAGAATCGAATCAAAATTTTCAGAAGTCAAAAGTGGGGATTTAAAGGGATAAGCAAAGTACCACTAAGAGTGAATATATACAATTCTTCCAACTTGATGATCTCTAAGCACGATGAACAAAAAAAATAAAAAAACAAAACAAAACAAAAGTAAAAAATAATATAATATTCTCAACTTCAAAAATATTGGATTTTTATGAAAATATTATTCAAGTTAAAAGGAAGAAGCTGATAGAGATGAAAATGGAAGCCAATGGGCCATTTGCATATCCACTTGAAATTAAAGTTTGTGCTTCAGTGGTATATATTGTTTATGATAAAGCCCCACTTTAGAAAGTGAATCATTATATTTCTATAATGTATTGAGGCTTTGGGATAGATGATATTATTCAGCTTCAATTTAATTCTGTATGTTTTATTGCTTATTAACTTTAGTTAAAATGTCTCCTACTAATGAAAATATCACATTTYGTTTGCATAACCATTGGTTATTTATGTAAAATATGATACCTGTGAATGTGAGACTTTTTCGTATCTCTAAAAATTATTGCAAAARAGAGTTAGGAGTTGAGCGAAAAAGGAAGGAGAGCAACAATTGTCCCATCTGCTAAAAAAATAACAATAAGAATTGAAATAGTGTATCTATARAAAGTTACAATATACAATTTTTATCATTTTCTAAGACAATTTTGGACTCCACATCTAAATGATGGCATTCTCTTAAGGGTGAGTCTGGGTAAAAAATTACGAGAGACTTGTAATGTCATTTATTTGACTAGTCGAATAAAATGGATTTATAGATGGAGTTGGTAGCTCACTTTGATCAATGGTAGACCGTACAGTGAGTTTGTACACCAGCAATAGCAAGTTTCTTAAGCTATTTGCTTCTTTTACTCTTCCTATCTTTATTAAACTATCGTGTTTGTCATCTCTCTTATGTCCTTGTTAAACCTCACAAACGAGTAAGACATTTTGCATTGTTGGGATTATGGAGCCAAAACAGGAAACCTATATCCTATTGGGRGACTTTTGTTGGACCTCTAGGGGATATTTTTTGGAAGAGTTTTCTATTCCAATCCTTAAATAGTTATTTGTCGTTATTCTTTTACAGTTTTCTTCCTATTTGCATATTTTTTTTGTTGTATTTGGATATTTTTGTGAGGAAGGGTAAATTATTCAGGGTTTTCAATTTCCCAACAAGTGGTATCAGAGCTGTGAAGACAAATATCACGCACACCATTACTATGAAGGGGTTCTGAAGTTCACCGGAGAGAATTTCAGTTTAGAAGATGCAGGTAAAGGATCTTCTTACGTGCAAGAAGATACACAAGACTTTAGGGGAGATACCAGCAGGGATGATAGACAAGGATTGGAATGAAATGGATGAGCATGCCGTTGCAAACATCARAATGTCGTTGTCAATGAATRTTTGTAGTCTGGTGGCGGAAGAGACTACAGCGAARGAGTTGTTGAAGGCCTTGCAAGACAGGTATGAAAAACATTCCACCAATACAAAAATCTTTTTCCCAAATATCGAATTTCTTAAACTTGTCATATAATACATTCACATTCTACCGAGTCTCTTAAATCTCGCATCACCTATTTTTCTCGGTACTATTAATGGCTATATTAAACGGTATAGGAACGGTTGGGTTGGTTGTGACAATCTAGAAAAGTAAATGTTTAATAGTCAAAACAAATTAAATTGAGAGTCAAAGCCTTCACTCCTTCAATTTCATCAACCACCCTTAGAAAAGAGAAGGAAAAAAAAAAAAACAATTTATCGGTTTGGTTGGTGTCCAGTTGAACTAATTGACTCGTGACTCATGCCCCAAAGTGTTCGAGTCAAACTTGGTGAAATAATATCATTTGAAAAATGCCATCATTCCATTTATTTTTGGTTCAAATAAAAAAAACATATATATATATATATAATTGAGAGTTTAATATTTGAATTTTTTTAAATAAAAACATATAATTAGCTTAAATTTTATGCACTCCATCAAGTTGGTATTTTAACCATGGGAGTTAGTTTAAAATTATTTCAAAAAAAAAAGAAAAGAAAAAACAATAGTGAACTAGTATTTGAATATGTAAGTCATTATAATATAATTAAAAAAATTTACGAATTTGTGAACAATAATTTAAGATATACAATACTCAATCTTCTATAACTTATATCTAATCTAATCCTAACTATATAAAATAATTCTACAAAATAAATGGTCATAACATAAAGAATTCTCACGTAACATGAACTTACTATTGTCCATAGTTTTACCTTTTCACATAAATTTTTACGTAACATTTGTCAATGTCCTACATTATTATTGATTTTTCAACCGATGTTAAAATGTTTCAATTTAACTTTTATATTTGAACATTTTTCAATTTAACCATCATTATAAGATAAAATATTAAAATTAAGTGATGATAAACTTATATGAAATCATACTAGGTAAATTAACAAAAAGATTTAACGAAGGAAAAATGTCAACTAATTTAGAGAATAAAATGTTTCAATTTCTTTCTCTAAATTTCTAATTAAAAACTCCATAGAAATTTTAAGCTTTCTTTTTTTTCTTTTATGTTCTTTTTCCTCCTTTAAATTTTAATAGTTCTATTATGTATTGTATAATATAAATTTATCATCAATCCATATGTGACCATCTAAATTAAAAATTGTTAAAATATAAAAAATTAAATTGAAAAGATTTATAAACGTTCCAACTAAATATTTTAAAAGAATATATTTGGAAAATAAAATTTTTATTCCAAAGAGGAGTTGAGATTCTCGATAATGGAGAAATTATTGGGATATTTTACAAAAGAAAAAGTCAATGAGACTCTCTGTACAGTTTGACCAAAACAGAGGACGTGCAGTGACATTTAAAGTTGAGGTTTGACTTGTGTTTAAAAGGTTGGAATAATATATTTTTTTTTTAGTAAAATACCTTCTAAAATTTTATATTGTTATACATATTACACAAACGTCAACCTCCAACTTTCTACATTATAAAAATTGAGTTACGTTCGGTTAGAATAATAATAATAATAATAATATTATTATTATTATTATTATTATTATCGTCATCATCTTTATATTTAAGATACAACGGTGAACTCAGTTGAATTATATTCAAATTGACTCGTTATATCTTGAACTTAAGAACTATGTTATATGTGTGCCTAATGTTTTTCTAATCTAAGTATATAAAGATAATATAATTGAATTACTCATTATGGAGGGACTATACTAAATACTTTGGTATAAGAAACAAAAAAAAAAAATTAATAAAAAGAAACCCTTATGGCCATTATAGGTTTACAAATGATTAAGTTCAACCTTTGAAACTGCTCATTATTGGTCATTTTATTAAGTTTCCTGTTAACTGATTCTTGTACATTGAAAATAGATCTAAATTTTTAACTCACACAAATAATATTTTATGTATCAAAGGACAATTGGTAATTCATATGAAATGATATTTTTCATTGGTTCATTTAATTTGGGAAAAGCAATAAAATAATATCACATTATTTTTCTACAATCTCCCACGGGCAGAAAAATCGACGGCCCATATCGGGGCTCTCAAGGCCCAAAGTGTAAGGCTTTGTCAGCTGGACGGTTTACTGGGCCTGTTGCTCTGGTTTCGGCCCAATAAACAAACACAGTTCATCTACTTTTCATAATCATAAAATAGAAATAATCACATTTAATTTTCATTAACTTATTAAACGAGATTTCGTAATTATTAAAACAT